AGAACAGAACACGTTCTTTATACCACTCGGTATATGCCATCCTTTTGCAATGTATTATCCCTGCCATAGGAATGTGGTATTCCACACTAATTTCAGCAACAACACAAAAAACTTTTACTTTTAATCTAGCATTAAACAATACAGAGTTTCTATTGTTCACTTATTTGATACTTATCTTATGTGCCTGTGTTTCAGTGTCAAGGAACCCATGAGACGTATCAAGACACCAGATCCCCCATGGAATCGTGATGCCAAAAATAAGTGGAGAGAAGGCGCAGTAGTTGGTGTATTGCACTCTCACCCTGAAAACCTGAGTTCAATTACCGGCCATGACTCTGACATCAGTGGTGAATGGATCGGCTCAGGCCCCCACATTCCTTCACCAACTCGCACTGACCAACGTGGTGAAGTATGGTCAAACAATCCACAAACTTGACACGGCGTGGGGGAGGCGCTCATACAACTGTGGATTGACAAAGGACTGTAATTTGAAACAGAGCGAGCCAAAAATCTAAATTTGAAGCGTACGTACAGCGGTCAGTAATTAACGAACTAAAATTTATATTTTACCAGGCTAGGCCCACTGAGCTATGTAGCTCTTTTTCATAAGGAACCTGGCCACAAATGAAACCTCAACAAAGTGGATTATGATGTGGAAATGTAAAGCAGCCAAATATTCTAAATGTGGAGGGAAAAACCGGAGGACCAGGAGAAAAATGCACGTGACCACAGGGAGAGAGAGACACGCAAACTCCAAATATACAGCAGGCGGCAGGGTCGGGATCGAACCCACGACCTCCTGCATACCAGGCGAGGTAGTTAACATCTCGCCACCACGGCGCCAGTGGTAACGCGTCGGTGGTTGCCGGTAGCAGAAGAGATAACGCGTTCCGGTCTACGAGCGAGATGGCGGCGTGAGCTACGGGAAGGACGTCAGGCAGTGACAGCCTCATCCACGCGGACGCAGAGGTCAAGGGTTGTCCTTATGCTAAATCCACGGGCTGAGAGCCCTGCTGGCATTGTCAAATCCCAGCCTCGTCCAAAATCCACTCTCCGCCGAAATGCCATTGGCTGGGACCAAACTTTTGGCGCCGTGTGAGCGGTGACCGCTAGAATGCCAGCCAACGACAAGTCTGAGTCTTCGTGCTCCGTCGAGCGTGGGGTGGTGCTCATCGCTGCCGGTGATTCAGAGCCAGTGGCTGAAATTCAACACTCCTATGACGGGGCAAGTGTGTCCACAGCACAACCGTTGCTGACTCTCCACAAAGTGGGACTCTTTTGCTAGATTCAGTTGACCTCTGGGCAGAACTTTAACTGTGTAAGTTGGGCGCTATAACCACAGCGCCACCCGGCTGGATGATAAAGGATGGCAGCGCCACTTGGACTTTAGAGCTGAGTAAATGTCACTGGATCTCACGATGGAGCACGAAGCCAGAACGAGCAGAACAATGCTCGCGTCTACGTCTTTCTGAGGCTGCACGGCGGCTGTGCAAACAACAGCGGCTCAACTGAACAAGGGTACATTTTCTGGTATTGTGAGAAGCCACAACAGCGACGAATTTCCACTAGAACCACTGTGCCTCATTTATGAGCGCATTTTGAGACCAATTAGGCGCGAGAAATGGATAGGAGGTACCAATCTGCTCAGCATACAACAGAATATCCTGCGTTTTTTGGCATCATCATCACCAGCCACGATCTATCTTAACCATTCCAGCAATGGGCTCGTTTCACTGTGTCGCACATCTCGTGCCAGACCGCCGTGTGAGCGCCAGGGACTGGAGTTGTGGTCGCTCGAACCGCTCTGCGTCTCCCTTGAGTCGCCTCGCCCCCAGGTGTGAAATGTTGCAATTTTCGGGCAGCAGAATCGCGGCTTGCGAACAGCGGACACAATTCCACAATTCCGCAATCAGCTTCGGCCCCTTAGGTCCACCCCAGCTTCACACCGTGACCAAATCGAATCGCATCCGACTGGGGCCGTGCAGCAAAGCGGTCACAATTTGAGCAAAGGGCACCCGTGAAATTGAAGCCCACGTGAAATTTCAGAATCCACATCTTTCTGCGACAACAGCAGAGAAATCGTCCTGCCAAAAATGCTACGTGAACCGGATCCCCCCCAGAAGTGAAAAGTGAACAAAAAGTTAACACAATCTCTATTTGGCAATAGGGAGGTCAAACTGTGAGTGGCCAAAACACACGAGCCGACTGGTCTCTATCCCTTCCTGTTACCCGAACACGATTGCCAACCAGTCCCTAGCATTAGCTCCCCGCGTGTACCCAAGCCCTCACCCCTGCCTCTGCCCCTCACCCTCCCGGCTTTCACTCCTCATTCGCTTTGCGCTCTAAGCCGTCGTGCCCGAAATCTCAAAGGCATCGCGCGCCCAGATGCGACGTCGCTGCGCGCTCCTCTCTCCGGGAGAGAACTCCCGCGCTCTTATCCCAGCGTGACCCCAAATCCCAGCGTGCAACGACACCGGCACGGCGTCGTTTCATCACTGAAGCCAAGTCGAGCTGAGGCTGCATCGTGCCTGCGAATGGGCAACCACCTCGCACAACACAAGGGCTGCGGTGGGAAAGGGGATATGCAGTGGGCAGCAATGGATCCTAATCCATCGTTGTAGTGTACATCTGTGCTCCCGTGTCTATGCTCCCACGACTTCGCCAACCTGCAGTGACCCAGCGCTAAGTGCGGTCAAGCAACTCCTCTCATCCGTCAGCGGATTGACGTGACGAGACGTGTAGGTGTACAGCCGCGTGTATCCAGTGCGACGCACGTCGATCCTGCTTTCCCGTCGTTTAAACGGACGGCCGCAGGTACCGAAAGGAAACGCGAGGCTTGTTGTGACTCTCCACTCGCGCTGCCCGCGAGCAGCCATCCTCCGGGTGCCGAGTCTTTAAATAGCCACGCGTCCTCACTGTACACGTGTCGCGGGAGCTACTGCAGGTGGCGCTGGAGCAATGGCTAAAGTGGCACCGATCCCCGCTTGGATGGAGCAACAACAACAACAAGTCAGGGGCGTGGGGACGTTGCCTGGCCACGCCAGACACGAGAGCAGGAGGGGGGCATGCATCATTTGTACCGCGTGCATTGAGCACAGTTCATACTGATTCCCGGAAGCCCGTGCTTGCGTGTAGATGTGCCGTTCACATCTCTCCGCTGCTGGATTAAGGCATCATCCCCAAAGCTGTCGTCACTCCCCACGGCCACGCGAAGCCACGTCCCGTTGAGATCGTGCACGACAGCCGATGTCATCGCTCCGTCTCCACGGTGTGTGTGCGCTCATTTGGCTACCACTCCGTCGTGAGCCTTGACCATGGGCCGACGACGTTTCACGCTTCGAACCAGGTGAAGGCCACAGCGGACACCACGTGGCTCATATGCAGGGACGACCCGGGGAAACCCCAATGTGCAGCGTGGCCCAGAAGGCTTGTGGCCCCCATCTAATTCCCTAAAACTATTTTTTGTTGTTGTAAGTTAGGTTTATTTAAAACAGAAATGAATGTGCAAAGGAAAAAAAACCTGGTAGGGGTCAATGAATTGCGGGTCACAATACATCTGGATCGCCCTGTACAAAACGCAAGAACACTCGGATATTACATATCCACCTTAGCGACACTGCTAACTATATATTTCCCTTAAAAGGCAAAACATTACCAAGTGCCCAGGACTGGTTAATTATATATCACTCGCCACTGACGTTCATTAGCCGTGGCTGGGAATCCAACTCAGGTGGCCGAGATCACAGTGCAATACTATAACCACCGTGCCACCGCTCCACCCCAGCAGAACGCCACAGATGAGTGCGCCTCTTATCTCTGCGCGCTGTGGGCTTGCGTGGCTTTGTTTGTCCGTGAACCGCGCGTGAATTTCCTGCAGTGGCACGCGATGCTATATTTATCGATACTGTACAGTGGGTCGACTCAGCCGGGGCAGGACAAATGTGTGACATTGTTAGGGGGGTGCAGGCGGCATCTGGAGAGATGCCATTCCCGTTCGTCCACTCCGTCTACCGCACTGTAAGGACACACGCGCTTTGCGCCGACAGCAGCTCACCACTGTGGCTGCTGTCGTTACAGGGGCCGTTCGTGCTTTACGCGTCAAGCATCGTCCATGTGCGAGACGTGAACACTGCGGAGGGAGGGAAGCGAACAATTTTGGCGCAGCAATAAATATATACTACAAACACTGCAAACAAATTGTCACCGCGGAACGCACTGACTATACATTTGGGAAGATCACAGGTGCACAGACATATATAATCAGATAAACACCCCGCTGAGCCGAGCAATCAAGCCTCTGAGCTTGCCGTGGCGCAGCAGAAAACGCCTCGTCAACAATGACGGACTGCCAAAACGAGCCGCCAGTTGATTAATGGAACAGCCGGCAGAGGCGGGGTGTATACAGCAGCTGGGCCAGCTGTCCCCTATGAATAAATTGGCTCGCATAACAATGAGTGGATTCCACACCCGGCTTCCGCCATGCAGGAGCAAAGAAGAGGAGCTGTCCATTTCAGCACCACGACGCTTCCCAGCGGCGACACGGCAGAGGCCGTCTCGAGCTGCTCACCCGAAACAAAGCGATCACGCGAGGTCTCTCGGCGGCTTGTCGTCGGTACACCCAATTGAGACACGAAATGGCTGTTTGTTTCATCGCTGAAACGCAAACAACTCGTGTAAGTCCATCGACCAATGTAAAACACAGTCCCGGGTGGGGATGTAGGGTGGTGGGGTGGGTGGTTTTATTCAAACTGTTCCTGGGACGCCTTGGTTCAAAAGGTTAATTTGGTCGATGAACCACAACTATTATTTTATTTCGCCGATTAAACACATTGTTACACAGACTCACGCTTGTTAGCTCGCTCTGAGTTTTTACTCGCCCGCTCGCTCGCTTCTTACACGAGGCGCCAAAGTCGATGGGTACGAAATGGAAAATATATAATAAAAATAAAAAAATAATACAGCACAATAAAAATCCCAGGCTCCACTTATCGCCACGTGCAGCGCGAGCAGGGGAGCAATAAGAGCAGGCAGCGGTGTGCCCGTGGTACACCCGCTGTTACACGCTGACGAGTGCGGCTGTGTCTTATAAAAGTTCACTCATCGTCGTCCTCATCATCACCCTCCTCGTATCAACGGCGCAGGGGTGGCGGTGTTGTGAACCGCGTGGTGGTGTTGTGCCGCGTGCTCGCGACGCCGAGAGGAACCAGAGTCAGCGCTCGCAACGCGAAACCACCGCGCGGCGGCCGTGGCGGTAGGCAAAGTGGAGCCCGCACCAAAGGGGCGGGGGGGGGGGGGAAGACGGAAATGGCGTTTGTCTCTAACGAGAGGAACCCCCCCGCTGGGGGCGGAGGCTGCGAGGCTCAGCGAGCCTCGCCCGTTCGGGGCGCGCAGATGTCGGCCGCGCAGTCTCGCGGTCCGGAGCGGAGCTCTGCGCCCTCGGCTCCGACTCGCCCGTGATGATTTCATCCGGCGCGCACAGCGCGTCCGTGCCAGCCTATCACCACGATTACTACTATCACCACCACCACCACTACTATTACTATTATCACCATCATCACTGTCGTCAAGCCCTGATAAGTAACAGGCGCGCATAAGACACCGGCCGCAGTCGTCTTATAGGAGCAACAGCGTCAGTAGCAGCAGCAGCACGCGTGTGTTTCGCTAGTTTTTGTTCGAAGGAAAGGGGGTGAATGAACAATAGCAGCTGACACAACCACAACATCAAACGCCACAACAAGGCGTGTAATTGGCTGGACGCGCGCTTAGTTTATCCCTCCTCGCCGCTCTCTCGCTCTCGCGCGCTCTGGTTAAGTTGATTCATTATTTCCACGACCGCCGTTCGAGGAAGAGAAAGGAGACGACCACAGTTCGTGTGCAAGATGCCAGTGCGGCGGGGCCACGTGGCGCTGCAGAACACCTTCCTGGAGACCATCATCCGCCGATTCGAAGCGCAGAGTGAGTGTCGCTGCTGCCCTCCGTGTGCGCAACAAACCCGCCCCACGTGTGCGTCAGCCCCACACCCGTTGGGCGTTTTAGCGACAGACGTTCGCTCATTGTTGTCGGCCTTGATGCGCGTAAATCCGATGCCGGCCGTCATTGCACATTGTGGGGTCGTGCGCCTTTTAATAAGGCACCGTGGATTGATGATTAATTATCAAATGCATATCGTGGAGGGGGTAAGGGATGCTCTGTATCTTGTCCAAGTTCATACCGATGATAAGGACGTCCCATAGAGGGTAGATTGACCCCCCCCCCCCCACCCCGCCGCGGGAATGTGGAGTTTCCACCCCTGGCTTGGGGATCGCGACGGAGAGGAGCGCTGCCCGTTTGAGCGGGGCGTAAACCTGACGAGCGACTGCGAATGAGGGAGAGAAAGTGGGTACCCCGCTGTGTTCATTGTTAAAGAGAACACGACTCACGTGGCTCCGTTCATTTGCTTTGAACAAAATGTGAGAGCATTATTGCACTCAAGCAGCCAGCCGTTTAATACGACGCTCGTGTCACTCCGTATTGTCTGCCGGTGTTCATTATTAACCCTTTTGAAGCCAACACCGGAGCCGCACATCACCATTGCGAGTCGCAAAGAACGCGACGTGCTTTGACAAATGCGGTTAAAAAATAATGCATGCCCTTGAGATATATATTTTATATACAAATCTTTGAAAGTGGCCTGACAGGTCTATTTCTGGAGATATATACATAGGTGTTGTAATGTCGCCGGCACACACCGCACATGCAGGCCGCTTTCTGAACATTGCTCCGTGATTTAGGGCGCTGCGTGAGAGGTGTGTAAAGGAGAGTATAAGGAGGCAACATTATCGCAGGAGCGATTGCAACGACTGCAAAACAAACCGAACGAATCTCGAGGACGGTGTCGCGCGAGATATGTCACTAGTCAAGGGTTGTGCCACGTGTGGATACTGTGCAGAAGTCAGAGCAAATGCGGTTTGATGCTACAAGGCCTTCTCCACGGCATGTGAAAGGTCACAGGGCTTTGAAACTGCTGCTACTACTTTCTATTTGACGATCGTGCGTTGTTTGGTGGCAGGCATGAATAACGATGTTTAAAAAAAAAAACATGTAACGTTTGCCCATGTCATCGTCATCACAAGCAGCGAGTGAATTATATCTTAAGGAAATTTAAATAAGAGCTGCAATCGGGCCATTTTTATGTCGTTTTAGGTAATGTTCACCAGACAGTGACACCGAACTACGTATATTCTAAGTGCGAAGCTTAATTTATTGAGAGGCTTCCGAGGTCATTGTGGCATCATTCAATCAATCAAATATTATTTTACCCAGCTAAGATGCCCCATTTGAAATATCGGCTCTAATATTCAAGTCTCCTCGGGTTGGCGGGAGAGGCCGAGGCCGAGCGTAGGTTCTCAAACCCCCGCTCGTGTGGGAGCTTATGTCAGCCCTGGGCCCTTTGCCAGGTGAGTGGCGGGCCGTGTCAAGCCCCGGGAATTCACTGCCGCTGATTATTTACTTGCGCAAGGCTCTGTGCGTGTGCGCCTGTGCGCCTGTGTGTGTGCGTGCACGTGTCGTGTCCGTGTCGCACACTCGGACAAAGAGCGCGGCAACTCGACCTGGCGTGCGCTGTCTGATTCTCGCGGCGCGAGTCGCTTGTCGTCGTCAGCGTTTGTGCGATGTTTTGCCGTCCCTCCGCCTTGTCTTCTCCTTGCGGCAAAGGGGACTTGGCTTCTACAAGCGTGCGTGGTTTTTGTTTCGTGTGATAGGATTATTTTAATAAGGTAGATGCATGGAAAGGGGATAGATTACGACGGTTTGTTTTCGGATCATGGTCTGCGTGCATTGCCCGGCGAGGATCACCACAGCCACTTAAATTTGTCCTTCATTTACGTCCGTGCAAGGTGCGCCGCGCCCTTCCATTGAGCAGAGCACGGGCTCCGTTGAAGGAGGGTCATCCATTTCCCACGGAGGGGACATTCTGTTAACAATAATTTTGATTGGCCATTTTGATGTTGATTGGCAAACTCGTGCACAAGACACTGGCGTGCAGTGAACGGCATCGCCAGGAATTTGGCCTCGTCCACACGCGCGCAGCAGGTGCGCGCGGTGGTTTGCACGAGGCCCTCCAGCCATGCCGGGTGGTGGCAGCCAGTGCCAACAATGGGGGACACTGAATACAAAGACAAGCACAGAGGTTGTTGGCTGCGGAACGACCAATGGATTCGAAGAGACCGCGGTAATGAAAGCGTGTCCGTCTCATCCCCGTGAGATGATTCCCATCCACCGAGTGGCGGTGCGAGGGTGTTTTACGTCTCCGTGGGGTTTTTTTTTTGTAATACCCGCTAACAGGCGTTGTGAGAACCCCTTTTGTGGAATAACACAATCGCGTAATGTAATCGCCAGCGCCGGCGAAAGCCAAGCCGAACAAGGGTTGCGTTATACAACCTCACCTGCCAATGAGCACAGTTGACCTAAGGGAACACATTACACTGGGAATAGGGAGTAATTAAGATCAGTCGTGGTTATATATAGGCAATCTTTATAACGCGTATATATATAGACAGTACAACTGTATGACACACACACACGCGCGTACTATCGTCCTTGCTCTGTGGGAGCATATCCATAGCCATTTGTCAACACCGTCACCACCAGCAGCACCAGCGTCACTGTCGTTGCAACACAACCCTCTTCATCATGCGATGGAGCCGATATAGTAATGGATTTGGTGATACAACAGACCTATAATAATAGGGTTTTCCCCCTTTTTTTCTGACAACAAAACTGAAACCTTTTTTTACAAGGATTCATGTCTGCATTAACCACAATACCTGCAGTCAAAATGCAAACAAAAACAAACTATGATAATATATGCATTGTCCTTGAAACTGATTGGTCCACACCAGGGGACGACTTTCTTTTGAGCCTCGACCCAATTGGTGCTCGACCAGATGACGCCAAAAGGCGTCACACAGCTCAAAGACAATGCCACTGTCAAAGTAATGAGGGCTCGGGGTGAGCATCTACATCATTAGAAAACCCTATTATTATATTTTGGTACTGGCAAAGGAGGTCTAATGATGTAGATGTTCAACAGACCTGTCAATAACACTGTGGCCTTAAGATAAGAAGTATATAACAGGTGACATTTTGGCGCTGACCCTTGTGGTTCGTGTGCAGTGAAGAAGGGTTCTTGCCTGAAACGTCGCCCATTATACGTTTCTTTTAAGGCAGTGTTGTTGACAAGTGAGTTTTTTTCTTTACACTTTAATTGTGTCCAGTGCATTAATTAAAGACGAGTCGAGACCATTTGTGCTGTGCGCGGTGAAGCATCCGGAGCTGGAAAATAATTGCGCGAAAAAATCACGTTTCAAAAATTCCACGGCCAATGTCACATATGTAATTGTCTACATACTGGTGGGATATTTGTGAACCCGTCCAATGATTAGGTCAGACGTATTCTATATTCACCGATGACAAAATCGCCCAGAATGCGCCCGATCTTGTCAGCTTTCGGAAGTTAAGCAGAGTTGAACCTGATTGGATGGGTGACCACCACCACCATGTATGCCGGGTTGCTATAGGCGGCTGCGGAGTTGTTCTATGCCGTGGGCATCACAGGGCAGTAGAGCACAATCAGTTGTTGTACTGTTCTTCTATGCTTCTTGCCTTTGCCAACCCACACTGACTAGCATGGTGAGGTGTGATTAATAACACTGTGTAACATTTTTTTTGTTCCTGTGTAGTAAGTGTTATTTCCTAATTGCTTATGCCTCCAAAAGTACAGAAAATGTCTGTTCACAAACTTTGCTTTGGTGACCAGGACAGTGGTATTTTGAAATGTACCCATTTTTCCAGAACATTCCAGATAGATTCAGTGCTGAGTAAACTTGGAGTACCTTCTAGACCATTCTAGAACTTTCCAGTAATGTAAATAGTAGTATAAATACAGGGGCTTTAAGCCCACCAGTTCAGTTTAGTTACAGCTGCCTAAGTGGATACATATCTGCATTTTTTCTGAGATGGCATCAAGAGACTGCAAACATCCGGCAGACGCATTTTGCTGTCTACGGCCAATTTATCAAGACAAGAGCAAAAAAGTACTCTGTGAAAGCATCTGCTAAGAAGTGTGAGGCCTACAAGGCATATTTCGGCATGCCTGTCGGGGATGAAGATAAACCCTCGGCACCTCATTTCACCTGCGAGCAATACAAACAAACTCTGGGAGGTAAGATGGACAATTGTTTCTCAGAATTTAATGTTATAAAATTTGTTAAAACATTTTAAATTGTAAACGTTTTCAATTTACATTTTTTTTACAATTTTCAAATGTTATTGAAAAAATATATAATTTCTAAAAAATGTAGCGAGAATCTCTTACATATTAGTCATGGATGAAATACATTTATTTTTGTAGGATGGTACAGAGGGGAAAAGACATCCATGAAGATCGCTATCCCAAGAATTTGGCGGGAACCCACTGACCACTCAAGCAATTGCTACTGCTGCATGGTGGACCCTGCGAAACGTCGGACTGGCAAGAATGCACCTGCTATCACGTATCCAGACCTTCCTTCATCCATCCCCCCGGTGCCACATTACCATGAGCTCCCCGTACCCACTCCTCCGGACAGAGAGCAGCCGTCTTTAGAATAGAGCAGCAAGTCAGAGAGCGAGGAAGACGTTGTAGATCCAGATGACAATTTCAGAGGTGGAGCTGAGGAGAGAAACCCATACTACCCCAACCAAAAATACCTCAACGACTTGATCAGAGATCTTGGTCTCACCAAGTCCAATGCGAGCTTTTGACGTCTAGGCTCAAGCAATGGAACTTGTTGGATGAAAGTGTGTAAGTCGCAGATCAGAGGAAGCGTCACCAGCCTTTTTACAGCTTCTTCACCCGTCAAGATGGGCTCTGCTTCTGCCACAATGTGACCAGTCTGTTCGAGGCAATCAGAATCGCCTGTAACCAGAATGAGTGGCGCCTCTTCATTGGCAGCTCATCCAGGAGCCTCAAAGCCATGCTGCTCCATAATGGTAACAAGTACCCGTCTCTTCCCCTGGCTCACTCGGTGCACCTCAATGATGATTGCAACAGCATCAAGACATTGCTGGACGCCTTGAAGTATGATGAGTACGGCTGGGAGGCCATCGGAGACTTCAAAATGGTGGCATTCCTGATGGGTCTCCAAGGCGGTTTTACCAAGTTGCCCTGCATCTTTGCCTTTGGGACAGCAGGGACACCAAGGCGCACTACCACAGGCGGGACTGGCCACAGCGGACCGAGTTCTCTGTGGGATGGAATATCAAGTGGTAGCCACTGGTGGACCCCCGGAAGGTGCTGATGCCACCACTGCACATCACATTGGGTCTCATGAAACAATTTGTCAGAGCTGGAGATAAGGAGTCGGCAGCCTTCAAGTACCTTCAAGACTTCTTCTCTAAGCTGTCTGAGGCAAAGGTCAAAGCCAGTGTCTTCACCGGACCACAGATAAAGAAGATCCTGGAGTGCAATGAATTCCCCAAGAAGCTCACTAGTAAGGAGAAGGCGGCTGGGAACAGCTTTGTCGCAGTGGTTCGTGGCTTCCTGGGCAATCACAACGTCGAAAACTGTGTGGAGCTGGTTGAGACTTTGGTGAAAAACTACGGCACAATGGGCTGTAGGATGTCCCTCAAAGTCCATATCCTTGATACTCATCTTGATAAATTCAAGGAGAACATGGGAGCGTACTCGGAGGAGCAAGGCGAGCGCTTCCACCAGGATATACTGGACTTTGAACGCCGCTACCAAGGACAGTAGAACGAGAACATGATGGGAGACTACATTTGGGGGCTGACTCGTGAAAGTGATTTACAGTATTATCGTAAATCTCGAAAAACTACTCCTAAATCTTTTGTAGTCATGTTTGTATTACTTTAGTATAAATACATGTAATTTTGTATTTATATGTTCTTTTTTTCTGACTTTATGTGAACGAAAATACAGAAATTCGCCCCTTTTCTCATTGAAAATGGGTAGATTTCAAAATATCACTGCCCTGGTCACAAAAGCAAAGTTTGTGGGGAATAATAGCCATTTTCTATACTTTTTAGGCATAAGCAATTAAGAAATCACACTTACTAGTCAGGAACAAAAATTTTGTTACATAGTGTAATCAATCATCATAACCCCTATGACCCTCGCTGCATAGGGAGGCCCTCATCCAGCAGCGGATTAACAACAGGGCTGAACGTGTAGATAGCAAACCCTGAGAGGGTAGCATTCATTGCTGTTGTTGCTTTTCTTAAATCGCAGTTGCTGAGTAGAGGCAAAAGCTCCACAATGGTAAGCTAACAGCACTGTTGAAAGTGTGATAGGTAAGAGCTAATACTTTCCTTGAATTGAACAAGACTATTATTATCAGAGCTACAGAAAAAAACGATGGGAGGGAATTCCACGGTCAAGCAGTGCGAGGGCAGAAGCAGAAATATAAGGATTGTGACCTGGAGTGCGGAGAGTGAGTGAATGGGAGAGTGAGTGAGTGGGAGAGTAAGTGGGTCAGTGAGTGTCGTTGTGACCTGCAGTGCGGTGTGAGAGTGGGTGGGAGAGTGAGTGAGTGAGTGGGAGAGTGAGTAAGTGGGAGAGTGAGTGAGTGAGTGGGTCAGTGAGTGAAGTTGTGACCTGCAGTGCGGTGAGTGGGAGAATGAGTGGTTGGGTGAGTGTCGTTGTGACATACAGTGCGGTTAGTGAGTGGGTGAGTGTCATTGTGACCTGCAGCGTGGTGCTTGAACACAATACGGATTAAATAAATCCCTCGTTCTACTCGAGAACGGGTCCTCATCATGTGCAGTCAATGAGCAGAAGTTACCGGTAACCGTAACCACGACAGTAGCGCTATAAGAGCGGTAGGGAGGCGACTGCCCGCCGGCGAGCCGAGGAGTGACCGGAGTGAATCACTTTTCACCGTGGCCGTTGCCCGCAGACCGCCGGTTCGTGATCGCCAACGCGCGCGCCGAGAACTGCGCCATCATCTACTGCAACGATGGCTTCTGCGAGATGTGCGGCTTCTCGCGCGCCGAGGTGATGCAGCGCGCCGGGACCTGCGACTTCCTGCACGGCGCCGACACGCGGCGCCACGCTGTGGCGCAGGTGGCGCGTTCCCTCCTCGCCGCCGAGGAGCGCAAGGTCGAGCTGCACTACTACCGCAAGGACGGTGAGGATCGCGCTCGAGCTCCGCATTGCTGCCGCGTCATCTCACTCAAGCCCCCTGCCACGAACTCGCAAACCTCTCCCCTCTCTCGTCTCACTCTACTCCCCCCCCCCCCATTCACTCTCCTACCTCTCTCCTTTCATCTCGATCTACCCCCTACCACGAACTCACAAACCTCTCCCCTCTCATCTCACTCGAACCCCCATCCACGAACTCTCATACAGAAGGTGAGTATTTAACCCTGATCCTTCGGACCTTCGATGAATAACATCGTCACGTGTGCATCAAGTCTGTTGGCTTTACTCCACTGTGCAAAACTTATCCCGATGCACAACCTCCTCAAAACATCTCGATGATAAAATGAAAACGAGGCCAACCTGCGGTAGAGTTTTAAGTGAACTGCCCTTGTTTGTGTGACATTTATACACGACTTTAGGGTTGCTTCCCACGCGATAGCGCACCATGAAATGTGCCACGTGGTGAACATGTCGACTGCAGTGTGATTTCGCACGCTGCCACGCGCGCCGCGACAGAACCTCTGGTTCAATGCTAACGGCTTGCACGGCAGCCCTGTACCTAACACAGCGCTGGAGCAAGGCGATGTCATTTACAAAACATACAACCAGGGACGTCGTCTTGTGCGGCCGATTCTATCCTTTCATTCCGCCGAGATCGAGCAGCACGCGAGACGAGAGCCGAGCGTGTACCGTGTCAGCCACGGGGAAAGTGGCGACGGAAATGGGACAGAATGCAATGATGGCAGCGGCCCAAGATTAACGTTCATTTGGGAGCACACTCGTGTGCCCCACAGCAGGGAGGGCCTGAGTTCGATTTCCTTCTCGGGCACATTTCTGCGTGGGCTTCTACGTACTCTCACGCCGTGGTCCGCAAGGGTTTTCCTCCGAGTTCTCCGTTTTACTCCCATAGCTAGAACAAAAAAAACACATCCATACAACTTAACCGGTATTGACCAAACATTCCAATTCTGAAAAATTACCTGCAATTTACACAACTTATTTCGCACTGTACATAGCCAACCGTGCTAATAGGTGCGGGGGAAGAACAAACGAAACGGAGAAATCAGTTCTGAAGAATTTAAGTTGTCAATCTAGATGATGATGATGATTTAAAAATGCATATCTCCCAGTAGCTTCCTAATATCGGAAGGAAGAGCGTTCCAGACGGCCGCAGAAGCAGCGCATCTGAAAGTGCGCGATGCGGTGAGCTCCGTCGTTGGTTCGATGGGTGGCCGAAAACATCTGCGATTGCACACGGGCACAGCATCAGGCCCGACCGCCAGCAGGTAAAAGAGGACTGCTGTCAGTAGAGGGGTGACATCGACCACCAGCAAGTGAAAGAGTTTCTGCTGTCAGTAGCACGGTGACATCAGACACCAGCAAGTGAAAGAGTTTCTGCTGTCAGTAGCACGGTGACATCAGACACCAGCAAATGAAAGAGGACTGCTGTCAGTAGAGCGGTGACACGACCGCCAGCAAGTGAAAGAGGACTGCTGTCAGTAGCACGGTGACATCAGACACCAGCAAGTGAAAGAGGACTGCTGTCAGTAGAGCGGTGACATCAGACACCAGCAAGTGAAAGAGGACTGCTGTCAGTAGCGCGGTGACATCAGACACCAGCAAGTGAAAGAGGACTGCTGTCAGTAGCGCGGTGACATCAACCGCCAGCAAGTGAAAGAGTTTCTGCTGTCAGTAGGGCGGTGACATCAGACACCAGCAAGTGAAAGAGGACTGCTGTCAGTAGAGCGGTGACATCAGACACCAGCAAGTGAAAGAGGACTGCTGTCAGTAGAGCGGTGACATCAGACACCAGCAAGTGAAAGAGGACTGCTGTCAGTAGAGCGGTGACATCAGACACCAGCAAGTGAAAGAGGACTGCTGTCAGTAGAACGGTGACATCGACCACCAGCAAGTGAAAGAGGACTGCTGTCAGTAGAACGGTGACATCAGACACCAGCAAGTGAAAGAGGACTGCTGTCAGTAGGGCGGTGACATCAGACACCAGCAAGTGAAAGAGGACTGCTGTCAGTAGGGCGGTGACATCGACCACCAGCAAGTGAAAGAGGACTGTTGTCAGTAGGGCGGTGACATTGACCGCCAGCAAGTGAAAGAGGACTGCTGTCAGTAGAGCGGTGACATCAGACACCAGCAAGTGAAAGAGTTTCTGCTGTCAGTAGGGCGGTGACATCGGACACCAGCAAGTGAAAGAGTTTCTGCTGTCAGTAGGGCGGTGACATCAGACAATCGGCGAAATCACGGTCCAGAGATGTCGCACCCCACCACTACGTGGTCATTGTGGATCGCGAATCGAGCTTTAGTTGCAATCGATTCAGATCCGTCTATCCGAACGCCAGCTCAGAGTTGATTGGGCAGCCATCTTGAAAATGTCGATTAATCGGTAATCGATTCAATGGTGATCGATTCATTCGCGAGCAATGCTTTCAACTGTGAAAAACCCTTAATTTTTTTTTCATAGTTCATTTATTTGGTATAGCCCTGTGAGCCATTCGGCTCTTGAATCGGGTGCAACCGCAACAAACAAAAACATGAACAAGAAAACATCTTAAAGTGATTATGTGACTGTGCAAACAGAAAATACAGGAAAAAAATATCAGAATATTCCTGAAATAGCACCGTACACCAACGCTGTGTGCAAAAATCCCAGTGGGATGCAAGTCAAAATAACAACAACAACCACAAGACAACTAAGATTAAGGCCGTCAATCAACTCCGTACTACAATAAACAAAAACATGACCAAAACAAAAAAAACTTTTCGAAATCACCAAAATAAAAGCCATAAATCCAATGTAACAGTTATCATATGGACTGTGACCGAATTTTTCACAATAAACTACATTAATTAATTATAACACCAAAATCTAGAGCCATATTTTAGGCCACTGAATAGCAGTGGCAGCTAGGGTTGTACAACTCCTCTAGAGCAGTTTTGAGTGATTCAAGTTTTGAGTGATTCAAGTTGCAGTTTATTGGCAATAGCATTCCAGACCCTAGGGGCATCAATAGGCCCACTGCGCTATATAACTCTTTTTCAGAAGCGACCTGGCCACAAATTATAGCTCAGCAAAGTGGCTTATTATGATGTGGACAGTTACAGCGACAGGCGAAACACTCTTCAGCACGGGACGTTCATTCTGAATGTGCAGGGGAAAACTCAGAGACAAATCCACGCAGTGACCTCCTGCACGTGGAGAGAGACGGAGAGAGACGTCAACTCCAAATATACAGCAGCAGCAGGCGTCAGGGTCGGAATCGAACCCATAACCTCCTGTACACCAGGCGAGAGAGTTAATATCTCAGCCACTGTGATGATGACGAGTGACACTCAAACTCCAAATATACAGCAGCAGCAGCAGGCGTCAGGGTCGGTATCGAACCCATAACCTCCTGTACACCAGGCGAGGGAGTTAATATCTCAGCCACTGTGATGATGATGAGTGACACTCAAACTCCAAATATACAGCAGCAGCAGCAGGCGTCAGGGTCGGTATTGAACCCACGACCTCGTGTACAGCAGGCGAGGTGGTCGTGACACGGCCCCACTATTTGAGTGGCTCACATCAGTAGGATCGGTGATTCTGTCGCAGTCCGCTCGTCTTATTACCAGAGCAGTCGCATCATCGGAGCCGGATTCACGCTCCGGGGACGTTTAGAGGCCCTCCGGATTGTGAGGGCAACCCAGAAATGCACACGGAGCACTTAATTACAAACAGGTTCAGACACAATACTGGCGCGGGACGGTAACTACTCCCAGCTTGTCGTTGGGCCATTAAAGGCTTGCCTCGCTCTGTGTATTACTACTAGCAATTACGTTGCCGAATCTAACATGGATTTGTTTGGTCTTCGGTTTAGCTTTCTAATTCGTATATTTATCGCATTCAAAAAAATACTCAAATAACCAAGGTGACTAACGGTGGGGTGATCGGCATCGGGCGTGGTGGTGGTTGTGAGACAGTTGAAGGTGAGGCATCTAAAACACACAGAGGACCCCCCCCCCCCCAAAACAAACTGCAACAGCCTCGCCCCCCCCCCCCAAACTTAGCCTGGGCGTGTCCGTCACAGATGAGGATAGACTCACTATTTCACTTTGAGCTTTTCATTTTTCCGACTAAGGCCCACTGAGCTATGTAGCTCTTTCTTTCAGAAGCGACCTGGCCACAAATGATAGCTCAACGAAGTGGATAATTATCGTCGTGTGGAAATGTATAGCAGCCAGATACTCTCAATTGGAAATGTTGGTTCTCAATGTGGAGGGAATATCTGGAGGACCCGGAGAAAAATCCACGTGACCACGGGGAGAGAAAGACACGCAAACTCCACAGATACAGCAGCAGCAGGCGTCGGCATCGGGATCGAACTCACAACCTGTATACCTATTCTTTGTTTATTTCGGTAAAGTCACGTAGATATAAAATTAAAGTGACTCAAAATGAATAATAAAATACAAATAATAAAAAACAACCCACTAATCTAGACCGTAGCCTGGTTCTTAATCTGAGTGAGTGTACTGGCAGTCTATAATGTAGACTGTAGCCTGGTTTACACTATGAGACCCCCTTTGCCAGTTGCAAGATATAGTAATAGGTTTTTACCCTTTTATCTGGCACCAAAACTGACACCTTTATACAAGGGATCATGTTTGCAATAACCACAACACAAGCAGTCAAAATGCAAACAAAAAGAGACAACTCTGATAATAATATGCACTGTCCTTGAAATTGATTGGTCCACACACGAGACGGCTTTTCTTAGAGCCGAGTCTCCACTGGTGTTTGACCAGATGACGCCAAAAGGCGTGCAACTCAAAAACAGGGCACTATCAGAGTATTGAGAGCTCGGGGTAAGCATTTGCACTATGAGACCTCCTTTGCCAGTAGCAAGATCACACCACAAGCGATCGTCTTCAGGAGGAAAGGTGAGTTCCCATCTCATGGCCACGGTGAAGCCACTGCGATTGCTGCCTTGC